TTTACGCATGGATGGATAGAGAAATATAGAAATTAATGGCAATAAAGCATCCTGTCAATATTTTAGAGACCCCCCAAAATATCACAAATCATGCTTTTAGGGGAGCTGATGTCCTCTTTAGGGGAGGCTCCCCCGTAGTTCGCACCCTGCACACACACACATACACCGTTGGCGCTGCGCTAAAAGTCATCTGTCAGTTATGCCTGAATGAAGTTGTCATGTCATTGGAGGAAATAAATTTGACTTGCAAAAATACAGGAGGCCGCCTTACAAACGAGTGTGTGGAGTAATTTTTACCGTAAGGTTTTGATGCTGTCATTAAAACCTTACACTCCAGTCCAGCAGGTGGCGCTAATGCACCTAAAACAGTTTATTTATGTAGGCCTATGCTTTGGCTGCTGGTGTGTATTTCTTGTATATAAAGTATGTAAGGTATGTAAATGTAATGTAACCGTAGGTAAGGACACGTGGAAGTTAAAATACTGACATAAATACTGATAACATATTTTGGGCGGTTTTGTGTGCGTTTTGGCGTTCAATTTTTGGGCTGGAATTCATGAGCAGGATCTGGCACCACTGCACGCCACCCTGCTTACCTTGCTTCCTGGTCTTGCGGGGTAGCTCATCAGTAAATTCCCCTTTTTCTCTTGATTGATCGCTGAAACAGTTAAAATTAGAGAAGAATAAATCCGAGGGAGGGTTGTTGACCTGAATGTTACTCCATTTTAAGAGAAAGTTTCTGAAAAAAAAACATACTCAGAGGCCATATGCCAAAGACATACCAAAAGTTGAGAGCCAAAAACACGATCAGTTTGTCAGGGGCGTGGTTTGTGATTGATAGTTTCAGCAGGAACAAAAACTACATGCGGTAAACCTTCACCTTAAAATTTACCACTCAATTCACATGCATTTTCATCACCTCCATTTTGTAATTTACTCTTTGTTATTTTACCAGTGGCGGCCCACAGAAAATTTTTCTAGGGGTGGCCAGACGGGGCCACTGAAAATCCTGGGGTGGCACACTAAACACTAAAAGTTAAGGAATTACAGACTGAATTACTGGTTTCTTATTTTTCATTTTACAGTTAATGATAGGCGTTCTAGTTGTCTAATGTCCGTATACTAACTAACTAACCAGTTCAATTAACATTCCATAAAATCCTGTTTAATGTATTATCTCTATGTGTTAGGCAATTAATTGTTTTTAAATAGGCTAGTTGACCTTTTCCTTAAAAAGACAAATCTAGCTTTTATTTGTAGGAGTGTATTGATGGGGAGGAACAAAACATTTACTGGGAACAAGTCTACTCAAGATTACAGACATCATGGAGCATAAATATATATATATTTTGATATGTGTCTGTATAGAGTTGTGTAATTATTTATTAACATACTATTTCACCAGTTTGGTGTTATTCTTGTTACAAACAACTACGATAGTTATTCTTGAAATATCCCACTTTTTAACCACCGATTTGACCATTGTCATATTCCTATGTAAAAATAGTGGGGCACCATCCATTTCAAAACATAGATACCAGTAAAACTACCATACTCTCTCTTACTACTGTGTATTTTAACATGTCAACAAACAGCATGGCTCCACAAAACACAGTGAGAAAGAGGAGTTTATTTACACAAGTTACAGTCTCACTGTCCATCCATCCATCCATCGTCAACCGCTTATCCTGCGTACAGGGTCGCGGGGGGGGTGGAGCCAATCCCAGTTTACATTGGGCGAAAGGCGTGGTACACCCTGGACAGGTCACCAGTCCATCGCAGGAGTATCACTGTCACAGTTGAAATGATATTGTTGTGAGCCAGGTTCAGGTGTGAAGAAGTTTGGAGACTGATGAAGACTTAACATAGCATGGTTTATTGAGCCCGGCCGAGGAGATACAGTGCCAGCATACAACATGTGAACACGTCAAATGCTAATACCAAATCTAAAGGAGAACATCTTGTGGTCCCTTTTATGTTTCTGTCTTCCCCCTAGTGCCTGTAGGTTTCTTTATTAGGTCACCTTCACCTGGAACAACTATCTATCTGATGTTTAGATTCCAATGCTTCGTCATATTGGAATCTCTCACTATCCAAGAGTTGAACTCTAATCTGTGGAGTCTTTTCTTGTAAACATTCTTGTATGGCTTAACCTTGTAAGATTCCCAGAGAACAATCTGCTAGCCCGTCTGAGCTACTGTCTCTAGCTAATCAGTCTATTGTTGTCTTCTTGACGAGGACAAGTACGTGTGAGAAATACCTAAAGCTATAATGTCAAACACTTATGGGGTCAGCTACATTACTCTAAGCTAGACCTGTTCAATTAAGACACCTAAGAAATATTCTCAACAGTCACAAACCTAAATTAAGAATGCAATATTTAAGCCGACACAACCAAGCTCCGAACAAATGAGCCTACAGGGCTAGTAAAGTAAACAGCAGTGAGCTCAACACTGCTGAAGTCAACAAGGTTTTAGGGATCCAGAGATCCTGCAATCATAATGGAAAGAATGTCCGCCAATATTATATATCCCATTCCCAGCTCCGTACCTTTCAAACAGCAGTGGGCCCGCATATTGGCCTAATAATCAAGAATAATAAACCACTATGAAAGTGGCTATATGACAACAACCGTAATCCGTAGCCTAGTCTCAACCAATCCAGCACAACAATTTGCCCATGCAGGGACCAGCAGCAGAGTCAGGATGATAAAAGATGCTTTCACGCACCACAGAAAGGCGGCACAGCGGTTTTTCCTCTGGCCAAACTTCTGGGTGACTGAAGTTTTTCAGACAGTCCGGCGACTCGTTGTGCCCCCGCAGTATTTGTTGTGCTGCTCAGTGGAGCGCCTGTTGCGATGTTTATCCTTCCTAAGTAACATTGAGCCCAATTTCACAGCATCATCCAGGTGACTCCCGCTGTTCTCACCTCTCAGAAAGATGAAGATGAAAACAGGCACAGGACGGTCTCCCTCGAGGCATAATGTTAACAACCGGTGACACATGGCGCTGTCAGGGCTCCAGTGTTTGTACGCGTAGCTTGCTGTTAGCGAAGGTGCTAACCTGTTGCTGTCTGCAGACTAATAGCTCTCACACACAGTACAAATCACAAAACTGTGTAGCAGTGTGACAAACTTATTATAAACTAGCCAGTCTACTAACTGTCTCTGTAAATTAATTAAATTACACTTTTCTTTCTTCTGCAGCTTGTCGCTACCTCCAAAGAAAACACACACATTCGGCACAACACCGGTATACTCTGATCTGCTCTGCCTGTTCCCGCCGCTTAACCAGTCACAATTTTAGAAACGTGATTGCCATCTACATGGACGAAGTAGAGGCCTCTCCTAAAATAAACATCATAGTCTGTCACAGCTCAGGGTCAGAGGTTAAAGATACCTCTTCAAGTTACAGAGCCTAATATGACAACACTTGTATGCTACTATCTATTCACCTTTTAACTCAAATGCAGGGGTTACATAATATATACAGTATATAGCATTTTATACATATGCTCACATGAAATTTAGCTAACTGATTAGTTTCATCTGGTTTGATCGATAGATATAATTACAAGGTACAAGTAAGGTACAATGTTGTTTATTAGTCATTAAACAGCACAAGTCTGCATAAAGAAATTAAATTTGTAGTTCCTTCATGCTACACACACACACACACACACATCATAATATTATTAATATTAAGTGTAGGCCTACATTAAAAAAATTACATAACAACAATGAAAGTGTATGGAGTGTTCTAACATGTTAGAAGCGATTTAACGGGGTGCCACACCACGTAGTTGCTCTAGTAAATGTACCTGGTCTGCCTGACAGTTTCTTGGACAATTGTTACTGATGGTAGATGTGTGTCAGAGTCCTTTTACCTTTAATACCCAGGATTAGATATTTAAACATTTCTTATCATCATTGTCTTTTACTTCACCTGACAATCTGCCAACACTGTCCTTGTCCTTCAGGATAATGACGTTTTACAAGTCTCTTTAATGTTTCGAATTTCTCTGCCTTGCTATGCTTTTGTATTGCTTGATTATCAACCTGGCATAGTGGGAAACAGCCCTCTGGGGCCCCAACCACCCCAGGTGAATTGTGTGTCAGTTGGTTTGTGTGTAATTAGTACACACATTGGTTTGAGAATATGCATGACTAAGTCCATCCTCAAGTAGTGTGTCCAAATTAAGTTTCACAGCCTTTATTACTTTAGTTTATATTGTGATTATATGATACATATTCCTAAATAAAGATGTGTTTCATCAAATTACCACAAAGGAACTGACACACAGTAAACGTAGGCCTGATTAGTATGAGCCAGTCTTCCATGTACAGTGTAGTCTGATGTGTGCACTAGACATGATGGGAACTTGAAGGCGACAGAGGGTGATCGGGGTCCCACCAGGGCCCCAAACAGGTTAAAATAGCCTTGTAAAAGTCAGCACTTATCATTAACATGAATAGGGACACATAATCCAGGCATATTTCCTCCAAAACATTTTTTGATAAAGCAAATTACAACACAAACTAAATTTGTGGGAGACTGTGTTGGTTGTTGGTGGAGAGCTTCCCTTCATTCATGGTAGCTCTCGAGGCTTGATACTTGCTCCACTACCACATACCTTCTTTTCCAAACATAGCTGTTTCTTGCTGGTTCTCCAACATTGCCTACTCTAGCTCTAAATATGCCACTATTGCATGTTAAATATGTATGAGTCAGTAATCTTGTCATCCTGAGGCATTTGATACACAGTGGAAACTTTCAAGTGCTTCCGTTTTGTGAGACATCCTGCTTTGTATCAGCTATAATCTTGGTCAGCTTCACACAGCCTGTGCACTCTGCAGATGGAGAGCACGGTATGTTGGTAAAAGCATAATCTGACGTGTGGGACATGAAAGAGAAAACATATATACAGGACATACATGTGAACCATAGTTTATCATCTGTAGCTACAACAACAATAGTAATAGCAGTAATTTGTCATTCCAGGTACTCGGGGATCAGAGCTGACCATCAATGTGAGGAAGAATGCTTCTGTAACACTTGTGTGTTCCAGCAGTGCGAGCTTGTGTTTCTGCCCTTACCATCTGATCTGCACAAGGTGTCTAGGTGTAACAAGCCCTGTGACAGTCTCTTATAAAACCACAGAGAAATATTTTAACTTGTCTGGACTCAAGCAGAGTAACTCTGGACTGTATGAGTGCTCAGGTTCAACATGGCAGAAGTACAAGTTAAATGTGTTTGAAGGTAAGTTCTACTATGTTTGCTGTACTTTTGTTAACTCTGTGGCTTTTGACAGACTAATACTTGCAGGCTCATATTTCTGGTAGATTACTTGGTAACAGCATAATTCTACTGATAACTTGATTATCACCAAAACCGAGGTCACAACATTTTGCAAAGGATCACATATTACAAACCACAGGGTTGTGTTTGTATGATAAGCTTTCACACTGATAGACCCAAAGCGACCTTCCTAGATCTTCTCCGCAGTATGCACCAACAGAGTGCATTGCATGTTTCTGAACACTGTTCTGCTTTTGGTCAAATAAGCATCAATAGAATCACTGTCATAAAGCATATTTAACCTGCAAGACAAATCAGAGCAAACAATCATTAACGACAAATGAAACAGCCAGAGAGGTCTCACCTGCTCTTAAGGCTAGGTTGGTCAGTATATTCTGAGCAGTACATGTTCTGTGCTGGGCTACTTTCCCCCTTCAGTTCCTTGCATCTGTACGCATCTTTCATGTACACGTGATTTCTTTGAATTCTGCCTGAAACACTTTTCACAGCCCTCAAATTTGATCCAATCTTCAACAAATTTCACATTCTGTCAAACTGGACTGCTGGTTTGATTTTCAAAAGGATTTTTTTAAAGGAATTGCCTTTTGTTGCAATTCAGTTCTAAAGGTTGTGACATTGTGGCCTATTTTAGATAAAATGAAGTGAAGCCTGCAAGCTGGTTCGAGCTTTCTCCTCGAGTCTTCCGCTATAATCACATATACGATGTATTCAATACACCATCTGCCACACTGCTCACCTAAAAACTACTGCTGCTGTTCAGACAGCATTTCAAAAGCCCCACCTCCAGTCCAGCATCCACTTGACTCTGACTCTACCTTCCCAAGGGGGGATGTTAGTATCATCACTCCCTGCTGTGTGTCACTGTAGGAGTGACGACAGAGCCTAGACGCAAAATAGAATTCAGAATATGTCAAAATCACTAGTTTGTCCCAGAGAATTCAGTCCTTTTGCAGCACATGTTGCAATATGTGAAGAACCTTTAGTTCACTGTAACCTGTGGTCAATTAGATAGGCCTATATTTTTTGAAAATGTGTATAATCAATGAACTCTAAAATCTCCTGAACACTGATCAAATGCATATCTTTTATGCAACCACAAATGTAAAATGGTGTAAAAAAGATTTTGTAAATGCTCCGTACTTGTATAGCGCCTTTCTAGTCTTTTCGACCACTCAAAGCGCTTTTACACTACATCTGCATTCACCAGTCATACACTGAGCCTAAGTGCTCAAACGGAAACTAACATTCACACTCATCATACACTGGGGGCAATTCGGGTTCAGTATCTTGCCCAAGGACACTTCGACACGCAACTAGGGGGAGCCAGGGATTGAACCGCCGACCTTCCGATTAACGGCCAACCCGCTCTACCTCCTGAGCCACAGCCGCAATAAACACGTTGCAATAAGAGTAATGTATACTGAGGACACAACAGCATCATTTCTATATTTGACAACATTTCTCTGATTTCTCTGGTCTTCAGAATCATTTCAGCGTTTTTTCAGAACTGTATTATTGTTTTTGTGAATTAAATACTTTCCACTACATTGATTCTCATATAGTCTATGGTATTTATGAATTAGTCTGTGAAAACAACAGGAACAAAGTTCACCTTTTCCATTAGTGACTGTGGCCTACAGTACTGATCATGTGTACATTGTTAGTTAATCACTGCATTTAAAGTTTTAAGTCCAATAAGCTGATTGTTTCTCTCTACTGTCAATAATTTGCACGCATCAGTGACTCTAAAGTCAAACTGTTGCATAACTGTTTTTCTTTTCACTTTGTCAGATCAAGACCCAACTGTTGTGATTGGGACTGAGGGACAGTCCGTAATCATATCATGTGGCACTGAGCTGGACATCATAGCCGCCTCAGAGAAACACTGGTGCCGCTTGGACAGTGCAGGATTTTGTCAGCCAGACACAATCATGAGTTCTAAAAATAAAACCAGAGAGGAATTCAAGATCCTTGACAGTCATGGCTCATTCTCCCTGGAGAAGCACCAGCTGACACACAACGATTCAGGATTTTACCGACTTATTCAGATATTTCCACATCAGACAAAGGCCTGTGTAGTGGAACTCCAGGTTAAAGACAAACCCAAATTTTTGCACATCAGTCCCGTTCAGGACAGGCCAAAGCCAGACAAGCCTTTTGAGATCATGTGCCAGTATTCCCAGGAGTTGCAGGAATTTTGGAAAAATTGGCTATGTGACGATTCAGAGTGTCCTGAGACAGTGAAGAGCGTAGACGATAGGTTCAGGTCTGCCTAGTACTGACTATTGATCACGTTGCTTGCTCAAATATTAGATCTTTCCAGTGTTTGGCAAAGACGTCAGGGAGCACTGTAAGATCCAGTGTTTACCAGAAACCTTTGATCCAGAATCCTGTTGTAAATGTGGAATTATATAATGTAAAGAATGGGACTGTAAAGGTCACTGCTTACAGCCAGCTTAATCTCATTTGTTTTAAACCTAACAGGTATAATTGGGACAGATGGGATGCAAGGTATAATGACTTTTATTATTATGACCACACTTACTGGTGTAGAGTGAGTTACGATCACTGTCTGCAAGTGAGAAAGAATGTACTAGAGACATTAACCTCAGTCACATTAGAAATATGTGTGACGCCAAATGATGATGGAACAACATATCGCTGCTCACCCGGGAATAAAGAGGTTCGAATTGTTGTCATCGGTATGTACAATACTGCAGATTAAACGTTTATGTTTAAAAAGCAGATATGTTATTTTGTTGAGGAGGTGGTATTATACTCATTTCCAAGTTCAAAATCTTATTTAGGGGTTGTACCAGAACAGGTTTTCATTGTTTCATTTGAAAAAAAACACCATATTTTTGTCATACTGCACATTGCTGCAGCTCCTCTTTTCACCCTGTGTGTTGAAGGCTTCGTTTTAGCTATGGAGTGATACATCCTGCTTCTACATGATTTTTGCTGGGAGTTGCACATGCGCAGTTCCTAGTTAAGGGCTTCAAGCCAATCAGAAGCAGAGAAGGGCGGGTCAGTGAGAAGCCGGTAAAAACGGCTTCGGTTTAGCTGTGTATCCCCTTACCGGTTTAGCAACATGGACTGGAGCAAGAGTTTCAGATTGACGAGTTATTAATTTGTAACAAAAGTATCTTTCATCTATAAAGTTTTAACTGAGATCTGTCTCTACATCACAGTAACAACTTTATGTCCACTGACTGCCTGGAGGGTAGCTAGTGTTTGGAAAGGAGAGGAGAGCTGTGTGCTGCAGCTCACTGTTTTTCCACCGGTGTCTTTTGAGGGTGAGTCGGACTAGCCGCTTGGTAAACGTTATATGATGTGCATTTTACTTTCATCCCTGTGACGTCACAGGGATGAAAGGGAAGCGGCTGAACTACAAATAGGGTGTTTTCAGGCAGTTCAGAGCAGAGTTTTCTGTGGGATATGGGAACTCCCTTTGGACTGGACTTTTTCACTTTGCAAACCTATTACATGCACAAAAAAGGTATATAACTCAATAAAGGAGAGGGAAAAAGGCAAAAAGCATAATACCACCTCTTCAAATATTTGTAAAGGTTGTGTGTGATGTTGTATCTGCACTGTAAATGTGTCTGACTTTGAAACCATCTTTCCCTAACGTTAGCAAACCAGTTTTCACGTCTCACCACATCCAAACCCTGACAGGATCATATGAAGTGCTTTTGCAATGTGCCCCCCCCCCCCACAGAATCTTGGTTCCAGTTAATAAGTGACGAATGGTATTCCAAGTTTGTGCTAGGATGCAGATTGGTCTCCTGCATGAAAGTCAGACATGCTGCATCATGGCAAATGAAGATGCATTCTATGTTCAGTGACATCACATTTTACTCTCCATCTTACAGCACCTCCTCCTCAACGAGTCATTCCAGCTGTGAGGCCCATAACTCCCGGGAACGTTCTACCAAAGTTGTATTACATGTTCTTTTTTCTAGTATTAGAACATTTATTGCAGCCAGTTTAACTCTGAAGTTTCCTGACACTAAATATTCTTGTCTTCCAGAGCCAATAGCGGCATAGAGCATGGAGTTGGCATCATAATAGTATTGACCAGCGTAATACTTCTTATCATCATTGTGTGTGTTACTGTCACCACATGCAAGGGTAAGTACCAGCAATACACTTTATAATTTATTATAAATAAATGCCCACTTGAGATTCTTACCGTATGATAAATGATTTCACACAATATATCATCTATCATTTTAATTAATACAATTTGATTAACAAAGGGGCAAGAAAAATATTCAACCTACAAGAAAGTGATGTATCATGAATATTCATAGAAGGGATCTTTGTGTGGAGTTAGGTTATTTTTTCGTCCAATGTTGTTGCTGTTTAATTGATCGGTGGAGAGCACACTGACATTTAAATGCAGCATAATTACAGGATTATAATAAATATAACTTGTCAGAAATAATAGAAACATGTATAAAGCAACATGATACTGCTATACTGCGCACACAATTATTAGGCAAGTGAGTATTTTGACCACATCATAATCTTTATGCATATTTTCCAACTCAGCTGTACAACAACAGCCGTATAAAGTTGAATGCTCATTGGACTGAAGCATATCAGGTGCTGTGAATTTTTGTAATAAAGGAGAGTTTGGCCTAAGGAGATTAACACCTTATATCAAGGTGTGCAGCTTCATTACCTCAGGTAAAATAGGCCAAAAAAGAGATTGAACTGACAATGAAAAGTCAAAAATAGTAAAATGCCATTCAGACGGATGCAACTACCTAAACTTTTGAGGCATGACCACCTGTTGCGGCCACAACTAAAGTAAACTCAAGTGTGACCAGCAACAAATCAAAGGACACCACCAGATGATTAGTTATAAGCAAATTAATTTATTTACAAAGTAAATGACCAAAATTCTAATCAAACTATGGGACTCTGGAGGTCTGGCCAAAATAACAAAAGAAGTGAGGAAGACTGGGCTAGCTCACCAAGGGCTGAAGGACCCAGGATTCACCCCTAAACTATCCAAAGGAAGTATCTAACCTAACAAAACCAAAACCGTGAAAACTGAACTACCAGTGGCCTGTACTATGAAGGGAGTTCAACCTCTTCAGAGTTAACTCAGGGTAATCAAGCAAACTCAGGGTTGACAAAGTCTGACTGCCTACACTGTTGTCAAACATTACTACGACGGTGAATAACATGTTGCTTGTGCATGCTCTGTATTTTCCCCAGAAGAATGCATGTTGATTGCGTCAGGATATGAGGAGTTTAAAGACACATTAACGGTCAAATCTAACATCATGGCGGCCGACAAAAAAGACAAAACAATTATCTTATCTCCTTTTAAGCCTACTTCAGTCATGACACAATTGCATTAACGATCAGGCTCCCTCATTCATCCTCTTTGTTAACGTATGACATAATACAACATGTGGGCTACCTGGTTGCCTAGGCAACGATAAACTACAGCGCTGCTAGTCAACGGTCTGGGCTCTGCCTCTGACGGTCTACATTCTATTAGCTAAACGTTTGGATATAACGAATTAAAGAACAACATAATAAGATCCCAATGCCCCAGTGCAGTGATGTGGACACTGTGCTATAGGAGCTGCCGTCCTTCAGATGAGACGTTAAACCGAGGTCATGACTCATTGTGGTCATTAAAGATCCCATGGCACTTGTCGCAAAGAGTGGGGGGTTCCCTCGTGCCATGGCAAATTGCCCAACCTGGCTTTCACCATCTGGCCATCTAATCATCCCCCATAGTAATTGGCTCAATGTTTCCCTCCCTCTCTGCCTCAAGCTGATGTGTGGTGAGCGTTCTGGCGCTAAATGGCTGCCGTGCATCACCCAGGTGGGTGCTACACATTGGTGGTGGTTGAGGTGATTCACTGTGAAGCGCTTTGAGTATCTATGATAAAGCGCTATATAAATGTCATTCATTATTACATCATTATAAGAATGCAGCACAACCCACAGCTTACAGTATTTCACAAAAGTGAGTACACCCCTCACATTTTAGGAAATATTTGGTGATATCTTTTCATGTGACCACACTGAAGAAATGACACTTTGCTACAATGTAAAGTAGTGAGTTACAGCTTGTATAACAGTGTAAATTTGCTGTCCCCTCAAAATAACACCTCACACAGCCATTAATGTCTAAACCACCGGCAACAAAAGTGAGGACACCCCTAAGTGAAAATGTCCAAATTGGGCCCACAGTGTCAATATTTTGTGGGGCCACCATTATTTTTCCAGCACTGCCTTAACTCTTCTTATAGCCTAGGCCATCTTTATGTAGAGCAACCATTTGTTTTTATAGATCCTCAGAGACTTCTTTGCCATGAGGTATCATGTTGAACTTTCAGTGACCATTATGAGGGAGTGTGAGAGTGATAACACCAAATTTAACACACCTGCTCCCCATTCAGACCTGAGACCTTGTAACACTAACAAATCACATGACACCGGGCAGGGAAAATGGGTAATTTGGCCCAATGTGGACATTTTCACTTAGGGGTATACTCACTTTTGTTGCCAGCGGTTTAGACATTAATGGCTGTGTGATGTGTTATTTTGAGGGGACAGCAAATTTACAGTTATACAAGCTGTACACTCACTACATTACACTCACTACATTGTAGCAAAGTGTCATTTCTTCAGTCTTGTTACGTGAAAAGATATAATCAAATATTGAAATCAAAAGTGTGAGGGGTGTACTCACTTTTGTCAGATAGTATATACCCGCAGTGATCGTGAGCCCTTTTAACTGCAAAAAGAATTGTTGAAAATTGAATGGGGGTGTTCATAAACAGGCAAAAAAAGTGCATACCTACAAAATAACACATTTTCCTATAAATATCCTATGTTTCACATAGGATAATTTTCGATTATGTATTTTATGGACTCACATTATGTCCATTGTAATTAAAAAATGGAGCCAAGGGAGAGGGGAAAAGAATTTCCAAGATTAATGTGGTAGATTTACGAGAAACTGATAATCACAAATCTATAAGTCAAAAACTTGAATATATTCTCTGACATTGTATTCATACATTTATGAGAGAAACTCTCTGAAAAATAGTGTTTTTTTCAAGGAACCACATCCCTTCTCTTTGCAAGGCTGCAACATCATACACACACATACACACGTACTAAGGCCTCCTTTGGGGTCGGATGACAGAACACCCACTTTTGGGGACACCACTTTCTGAATGGTTTAGAGTGAAGCTGCCACCATTCTCAGATGTGGGGGAAACCCTTATTACCAAAACTGCTTTTTTTCCCCCCGTCTGATTTTTTCCCCAGAGATTGGGGACAACGATTATTTAAGCAACCTTAGGGGACTTGGGCTGTACACAAACTCTGACAGAAGTCATCTTTGGGGTCTTTCTTTCTTACAAGCCAGAGATTCCACACCTTGAGATAGCCTCATCCCCCATGTTAGGGAAGTCATTTGAATTGAGGGTTGGAGAGTTAAAATTAACTGAATCAACACAAAACATGAAGACAATTAAATTTTTAACAAGTAAATGTTACAAACAATAAGGAGACCCACACAAAAGTACAAAACGCAAGAAATAATGTTTAAAGAGAATGACATTTGTTGCAGCCTCATTGATGCTTTACAAAACAAAAAGGGCAATTATTACAAAATAAATGTTAAAGGGGCTATATGTAGTTTTTCTAATGAAATTACTTATTGATAAATCACATTTTCCTTCCCTTGTTGTAAATGGGCTCAAAACTCACTTAGAAAGGAAGCACAGGCCTGTTTTCTCTGTTGCTTGCGTCAACCACCATTCTGCTATAAATGTGAGGACACCGGGTCGGATTCAACTCTGTGAGTGCTCCCAAGCATCTCTGACTACAGCAACAACACCGCAGCTAACGACATGCAGTCCACTAACACCATAAAACACTCCAACATAAACTCCATGTAAGGATAAAAACAACAAAGTTTTATGTAAGGAAGCCTGTCAGACCAAATAAGATTCAGATGATGTCGGGTAAAAACAGTCACACCAGAAAGTCACGGAGAGAGTCACGTTAGCTCATTAGCAGTTGATAACATTATCCGATGCAAAGATGTATCACTTTCCACTTTACTTCACCAGCTAACACGACCAATATTACTATCCTGTGTACCACCGGTATTATGTCAAAGTGTTGATTTTTGCTAGCAAGAATGGATGTGTACAAAGCAAATGTGGAGTATTTAGTTTACTAGCCTATAGTGATACAGGGCAGAGGCAGCTAGCTATCCTTAGCACAGATCCACAGCTGTTTGCTGAGTAACGTTCAATTTAGATTTATTGTGGTTTTACCGATTCTCAGGTACACACTTCTCCACCTCTCAGTCACTGTAACTAACGTGACCCACATAATATACAATACTGCAACAAAATGGCAACAACAACACAAAGGAAGAGCCATCCACTAACACTACAGTAAAGTTACTTACTGCGGTCAAACTGTTATAAAGTCTCACAACAGTTCAGTCCAGCTCACTAACCGTTAGTTACTGAAAGGCAGCAGGCAAGCTAAGCTGTAGCACGTCGGCTAAATGCAATTAATGTAATGTTACCATGTAACCAGCATGGATTAGTTCAACCTGCAGCTGATAAAACTATTACTGTAACGTTGCAGTGGGAGTTTACCAGAGTTTCCAGCTCTGACTGTTCTCCCTGTCTGTCTATAGCCGCTGTCCTTTTTTCCGGGAGTATTGTGCCAATTTGCGGCTCGCTGCGCTGAATGAAAGGTACGGAGCCTGTGTTGAGCTGCCTCTGAGCTGGGAATGTAGCCTGAACATGTCTGGAGAAAAGCCACAGACTGCATGTCTGTGTTCCTGAGTTTATTGCAGGATTTCTGTATGAAAGTGGTTGTGTTTCGGATAATGCTCGCTCATGAGTTCAAGCAAGCACGCGTAGGAGCAGACACCTGGTTGCAATCTTAGAACCGCACCACTAGTGGCTGCTGAAAACACCGTAATGCCCCTTTAAACAGAATGCAACAGTGGCCGAAACTGCTTGCCCTCTCCCCACCTACTTCTACTCCGTTTTTGCATTCATGTGGAGGGTCCCCCACATTGAGTGGCATCCGAAACCAATGAGGGTGGAGTGGTAGTGGGT